GAAGACAGAGGTGATGAAGATACCGCACCACCACCAACAACAACAAACTCCAATCACCATCAACGGGAGAAACTTAAAGGAAGTAACCTCCTTCACCTATCTAGGAAGCACTGTTTCAACTACAGGCGGGACAGACGAAGATGTCAAAGTCAGCCAAGATCGGAAAAGCAAGACAGGTGTTCATTAGCCTGAAACCAGTGTGGAGATCTTCTGCACTCCTCTCAGCATGCGGAACAACATCCGGATTTTCAACACCAACGTCAAGTCAGTGCCCCTGTATGGTTCAGAGACTTGGAGCGTCACGAAAGGCATTTCCAATAAACTACAGACATTCATCAACAACTGCTTACGCTGTCTCGTTACTGAAGATCAGATGGCCAGAAAGAATAAGCAACAAGGAACTCTGGGAACGAACCAACCAAGAACCTATCACGCAACAAATATGCAGGAAGAAGTGGAGATGGATTGGCCATGCACTGAGAAGGCCGACTGAGGACATCACGTGTCAGGCCAGGCCCTCGAATGGAATCCCCATGGGAAGCGACGAGTTGGACGTCCGAGGGTGACATGGAGAAGGTCGTGCGAGGAGGAAATGAGAGCTTCTGGGCTGTCGTGGACCAGGTTCAAAAGATCTCAGAGAACAGAGGTCACTGGAGACGTGCTACTGAAGCCCTATGTTCCACTAGGAACCCAAGGGACTAATAATAATAATAATAATCTCAGTTAAAGCACGGATAGTTGAACACCTAAGTAATAGGGTGAGAAAGATTCCCATCGCGAAAAAAACTACGATAAGAAACTAGATATGTCAAGAATAACTTAAGCACCAACGATGAACCAGATACTTTTACAAGTAAATTCATGAGAAACAGGAACAAAGTAGTAGTAGTAATAATAATGTTGAAATTATGTGTAAAATTTTGGAGAGTATGGGAAAATCGGTTGACGCGGCATGTTTTACGCGTGACTAGTCACCACCTGACATGTAGCGGTATGTTAACTTAAGTAGGTTTAGGATGGAAAAAATCTCTGCGAAGCGAGACTAAACTATTGCGATGCTGCATGATGTCTTTGGAAGATTCAGATTAGCCAGTTTGGTTCTAAGTGGCAACAGAAATCAGTGGTTGGTGACTCTAGACGGTGACATGATGCAGAATAGATGTCACTGCTGCACATGTATGCACACATTATCCTAATCGCTATGCTGAATTCAGTATTTTTCTCATTCCTCCTTCATCTCTTTTACTGCTTTATACTGCTTTTGACCGATTCCTCTTTCTTTCTTCATCTTTCATCTCAACTTTGTTACTTGATGTGCTGATCTGATGAGGTGTAGCAACTTGGACAACGTAGGCATGCTACTGAATTACCTATCGGTAGTATCACAGTGACTTAAGCAAAAGAAATTACCTGTAGTTGAATGTATTAACTAGGTGTTCTGAAAAATTCAGATGACTCATGAATGCGGAGATGACAGCGGTATTCAGCTTGAATTATTATCCTCTAGGTTAGTGTTTTGATGGGCAAACTTACTTATGCGAAACGAGAGGAATTACCAATTCACTTTATAACACCCCCGCGTTGACAATCGGACAGGTAGAATCCAGGCCAATTAAGCCCAGTCAACACTTGAGCACTTGAGCACCTGACTATTGATCAAAGTTGTCGGTGATTTGTGCGATACCCTATTCACTCTACGACTCAAGCATGCTGTCAGCATAGTGGACTTACAACCTCTGAGGAACTGATGTCCCTGTGAGATTCAAAACCGCTTTTCGGGAATGGATTAAGTACATTGAGTGGACCCTGAAGAGCAACCAGTTCCACGTTGTCTAGACCTCAGTTCTATCAGTCATTCTGTAATGAGGCTACCAAGCTAGGATTCTCGCCTTCGCGGTGTACTTTGATACATGTTAGGTGGTTGAATGCTATCGGTAGGAATTTCTGCTCCACCTAAGTTTCATGTCTATTGACGAGGCGTTTCTGGGACCTTGATGGAATGGATACCCAGTGGGGGGTTCGAACCCGCTTCACCCAGTGCTATAGTAATCCGAGAAGTTACCACAAAGCTATTCGGGCAACTAGTAACCTCCCATCAAGTAAAAGATTCTGTTTTGTTTATTTGAGCCTGTTAATAGTAGCAGCTACAGACAGAAAGCCCTTCTAAATAAATTTGATATCCATGTGGGATAGCAGAAAAACGTTCTACGAGGAAGGATTTGTCTGTAATCTAATCTGTAGTCTAACCCAGAAACTGTTGCATACAGATGTCCGTTTGACTGCCATCCATCTTCTCGCATACTGTGCTGAAACTCGTTGCTTCACTGTACAAATAATTCGAGTTTGTGTCAACACATATAGAATTTTGTGTTTTTCCAGCTACTTTTTCTGGCTATTAGAAAAACGTCGCTAGATGGTGCGGGTTCGAATCTATGAGATAGACATGGGTTCACTCAACGTTACACATACGTTTTTCTCACGACTACCAATAAGTAAGAAAGCTAGGTGGAACAAGATTTCATACTGACTGCCTCTTAGGTTGAGCAGAAAACTGCAAAATAATCGATAGGAAGTCATCAGCATTTAGCACTAGACAACATGACATTGGTTACTCTCCGGTAACTAATCCAATGAGATTCAGCAACGTTTAAATTTGGACTCCTATAAAGGCTAATTAATATTCTTAAACGGATTTTTATATATTTACTTATTTATCTATCTGAAGTGACCTCTTATTTATTCGCATAAATCTGCATAACTTATATTTCTCAGATGTTGGTCACCCACTTAACGTCTACCTAATATTCCATTCCTCCGCTTACGTAATCATTTCGACTCACCGTCTGTTATATTGCATACATTCACTGATCGATGCAAACATAACAATTACACAGCACATTGGTGCAATGCACCTTAATTTACATAACTGTTTTTTGGCTGAATCAATGTAAAACAAGTGATCTTTTCTGATGAATAACACTTCAGGTGTGTAATACGCACAGGCGTGCGGACATTTTACTTCATTTCATCATATTTTGCAATGTTTCTTTTCAATGGAAAGAAGTAGGTTGTGTCTCAAATATATTTTCATGTGCAAATTGAGTTTCGTTAGCTGAGTCAGGCAATCAGCTAGGTAGTCAGCCTGTCAGTCTATCCATCAGTAGATAATCAGTCTGTCAATCATCCAATCAAGGCTTGCGAATCATTATCTGTTTCTATTTTTATCCTATCTGTCTCTCTACCTTCATAAACATATAGATGAGTTTGTTTTTATGCGTACATACGTATAGACAGACATCACAAGAGGCTAATCAATATACACAATATTCACATATTCAAGTGAAATTTACATATTCACGGAGTTCAGTTCAGAGGTTTATGGAGACTGATTGGTTTCATAATGGTATTCCTTACAAACTGACCGATCTCAGTTGGAGAACCATAGAAAACCTGGCAGCACTGGATACATGTTTCGGCCCAGTATGGGACTTCTCAAAACGTCCATCCACGACTCCAGTCAGGTCTGGCGGGGTGCATTGTTAGCAACTGCTTGCATATTCCTGCACTAGGCACTGACGCACAGATATGGTACGTAGGTGAGTGATACTAACTATCCGCTCAAACTTCCATAGGTAGGTAAGGGTTCGAACCGTAACCCACAGGCTGAAAGTCAACGGCCTAAGACAGGTAGCCACAGATTCTTAGGTGTCTAGTTGATGTATAGTGGGCCGGTATGCTTTCACTTGAATTGAGTCTGAAAATAGATCTGAGCGGTTTGATAAAAGTGTCGACATGCATTTGGTTGATGAGTTACAAATGGGTCGAAACACTGGATTCGACTGCTAACGGCTAACTATAGCTGCTATCAAAGGGAAACTACAGGTAATGTTGAGAGGTCAGAACAGGAGACCGTATGTCAATATTGACGGATCAATTTGATCGGATCAATGATGGAAAATGCAAGCAATGACATAAAAAGTTTACCCATCACACAAGGAGTGGTTATCTTGACTCATTAGCCCAGTGGATAACGCTCTAGTTATTGAATCGATCAGTCATGGAGTTGAGTCTTAGTGGGAACAACATCACTCCCTACTGGGAGGCAGGTGCATTCGATTGATGAGTTCTAAGGAGGATGAAACACTTGTGTCTTGGATTCCACTCCTAGCTACTACTACTCCTTCATACATCCATTCATTAGTCCTGAAATACTTAGGTACATAAACTTATACAATGCTAGATGCTAACGACTGGTTGGGGGCCTTAAGGTGATAAATACTACAGGGGGATTACAAACCCATGCCAATCGAAGACTTCATCTCTTTGCTGTTCAAGTTTTCTATCTGAAGGCTAGAGTTAGAATGATGCTGAAACACATGAACTCATTTAGAAACAACCTTTGTATGAAAAACGTTGCAATCGATCCGATTAGGTAAAATACTTCACTTTGCCAAATCGCTTGAATGATTCCGAAGTTGAATATTTATGTCAGAGTAGTCGACAAGAGCCACTTAGGCTGTGCAGGCACAAAAACTTATCTAAATCAACAGTGGTAAGCCCTAGTAAGACAAGAAATCTAGAGAAAAGCTCGGTTATAGCTATGCATGTGATTACATATAATGGGATGGGACAAAGTGACAATCGTTAAAACTGACTTTGTGGAGTGGAGGGAGAGACTGATAACCGAACTCTTACTGATCGAACAGAGACCAGATACATCTAGCATGAATGATTCTACACCTGCTGCAGACATCTGCAGAAAATTCCACATATATGGAAGTTGTGGAGTCACGTTGATATGAATCTAGACAATAAATTATATCCGAAACGGTCCGCCAGTAAATAATACTATTTATTGGTATAAGATACATCCGATAAGCACAGACTCAAATGAAATTATACATTCTGTTACACTGCTCAAGTTTAACTCACATATTAAACGAATATGGCGCCAAGAAAACCTTGGTTAGATCATTAAAATTAACAATATATGAACTCACTTTCAAATGTTGGTGATGGGGTGATGATGATACGAAACAAATTTCTACACTTGGCAATGTCTTACATTTACTCGGTGAATTGTGAAAATATCTTCTCAGTCGTAAACGTAACTCATGAATCTTACTCTTCGATAAGCTTGTTGAAACAAGATTAACTTTTCAAAGTTATTAGATACCTCAGATGGATTTGCATAAGTTGAGCATTGATGCTGAAATGAATCAGTTGTTCTTCGATTGAATTCTCCATTTGTCTTTTTAATCAATGACTTTTCACCTACATCAAGTTGATCATGACTAGCAAAAATTGAATAAATATCTGACACTGACAATTGAACATTTGATGATGTACAATGTTTCAATGGTTGATGATATTGTTTCTGGTGTTGTTGTAGACAAGATTTACTGTCAATAGTCCAGTTTGCATTTAATCCGGACTCTTTTAAGATTTTATCAACAAAGTCTGATTCAATTATTGGCTTATAATTCAGTTTGTTTTCGATTATAACCTCATCTAAATTAGTTATCTGTTTATGAAGCTTCTGATTGTGCGTTTCATTTTCAGATTCATCAAAACTTAAAGAATCCACTGAGATTGACTGTAAGGAAACTTCATCAATTGTTGCATAGGTAATGATACCGGGATCCAGGTTACTTAAACTGTGCTTAAAGTTAGAGAAGATGTCTGGTGTTGTTGTTGTTGTGGTGGTGGTGGTAGTGATTTCCTTTAAAGTGTGATATTTTGGTTCTATTCGTTGTAAACCTTCGAAGGTATTTCTACATGTAGGCTCAACTGATAATGTAGCGGATTTCTGCCGATTTCTCTTAATCATATGGCTTGTTCTAATGCGTTTTTTAAATTGTTTAATTGTCCAGTGATTTGTTTTACGTTGGGAAGTGGACATTTTTGGTGATGTAATATTTTGAAGATGAAAGGTGTTATTATCATGATATTCCATATGACCTTGATGACACAGAATGTATTTGGGTGGTTTTTCTGTACTTCTCTTGTGATGATATTCCCGTAGGCGAAGTGTAGGATTTGAGAAATAACGTCGAATTAGTTTAAACTGATGAAAAAATTTAGGTTTAGCCTTCTCATCAATTCGTGAAGTTTTAGCTATCACTTCAGTCATGATTGATTGATTCCGTGTAGGTAGTGCTTCGTTTCTATACACTAATCAGATCTCTCTTTAATAAAGATCTTTTCTGAAGTAATCAGTGATACAGAAGGATTTGTCACTGATGCAATCGCGTCATCACAGAATATACGTCGTTGAAATTACCTCATCAAGCGCTGTACTTTACTTTTCAATCTTGGGAGCATAATTGAACTGACGATACTATCTGAGAAAGGAATAACAAGAAAAGAGATTGATGAAGCTTTGTAAAACTCGAATTATCCTAAGAATCTGTCTGTTTAACATTGGTACATCGGTCGAAGGGAGAGGATTGCGAACTACTGACATGTGTATAAATGATTGGTTTGGTTTACTTTATTCATTTATCTTAAAAGGTATTTAACCTAAGAGGTGGTTTACAGTTTCAATGTATAGCTCAACCCATTCAGTTCCGTTCGATTAATACACAAGATCACTTACAGTGTTCAAACACCTTTTCGATACATAATGGCGTAAATTTCACTATTATGACTCACAATATATTCTAATAATCGCAGTGAGTTAGAGACGAAGAAAGACGTAAGTGAACAAACTGGTTTGCGGTGATATCAGCTGTGCAATCAATTTCTAAGAGATTACATAGAATGCATACTCGTTGCTAGAAAATTGTCAACATGTCTTAAATCATTTAGTCAACCGTATGTTGGAATATGCAGGTGTTGGCTCCTCGCACTGAACCTTACTGAGTCATGTTAAAGGGTGTTGGCGTCAACGTTGGACAATCCATAGAAGTAGATGACTTCAGGTGTGCACACTAAAATAGCCGGCAGTGACCGTTTTTCCTTCGCACATGAGTTCATCACTGACCGACCAACACTAGCGATTTATAGAGTGGTTGAAGGGAAAACTTCATTGACAGCCTAAGTCAGTTTTGCTGTTCAGTACCTCATCTTCTGCGTCTTCGCTGAATTCCATGTTCAAAATTAACATCTTCTTCATCCGACTGATAAGAGACTGATGGACCCCACCCCTTTCTTCGCTGGAAACTGTCGAATCACTTTGTTAGAAACTCTTCAATTCTTGATTTCAACTCACTACGAGTTATTCACCTTGATAAATATTTTCACGTTTTTTATGTAACTTCCATTCCTGTATGATTCTCGTGACCACAACCTGTTAGGAATTGTCAGTTGACAAAATATCCACAGTCTTCACCAATAAATATGCACTCTAATTAATCAGTTTAAATGCGTTCGCACAGCTGAGGAGGAGGATGCCTTCGAAAACAAGTGTTTACTCGCTGAAGTTTTCTTTCTTTCATGAATCACGGTACGCTGAAACCGTACGATTCAGAGCACAAACGCCAAGGATAGTAAGTGGCAGTATTTTCTCCTATCGACCAGTTTTGCGGGATAGTAAATTGTCTCAGTAATCCATGTGAACTGATTTTAAAGGTGCGCTAGCAACTACTAGGATAACCAATCACGTCCCGCTATTTTAGCCATGAAGGCAGTTTTTCAAAAAAAGTGGGGAACTGTAATTAGTTGTTTCAACAGCTGTTAGACTGGTCTTTGAAGTCACCCATCTATGTGTGAATTCCTTATACAGGGTGTTGTGTTGGGACGCTGGATTTATCACATACTGACTCAGAGTATCTCAGCGACTGATAGAATTACGTGGTAAGAACTTATGGAGAATGTCAGAGCCCCTGCATGTAGTGCGGTACAGAGGAGTTATGCTGAACACTTAGTTGGAAGCAGTCAGTGTGGAATCTTTCGAGAGGGGTCTCCACAGAACCTCTGTCCTCTGATCACTTTTGCACAACAGCCATTGACTGAACACAGCAACTGGCGAAAAACTGATCACAGTTTATCGACCAGGAAAGAAGTGGTGATGTAATCAGGCGGTAGAACATCTTGATTCTGTTTGGCTTGTCTGCACTCGTTAGCAAGACGTGTCTGTAACCGTGAGGAGACCCATTTTCTTCCTCGGTGATCCCAGTGAGGTATTCATGTGACGACTGTCCTCTCTCACCCAGCTCCACAGCTTATGGGATGGAGTTATTTATTAACGAATTGGTAAGACATGCTTGAATTCAATGAACTCTGCCGTCTATTTCCGCCTGTTTAGGGTTCAACAACAGCCCTAAAATATAACAAAGGGAGTGCATTTTATTTCAACTGTCATCAGGTGTCTGTTGCACTATTCAAGTTATCCTAAGGATGTTTCAGTTTCCTCGAAACTTCTCTTGATATGTTGTATATTGGAGTTCTTGGTTGGTTGCAGAGGAATGTCTGGATTCGCTATCGAGACGACACCTTTGTCATCATAAAAAAAGATGATATAGAAAACACTCACAGTTTGATCAACAACATATTCAATGACATCGAATTCACAATGGAGAAGGAGTCAAACAACCAACTACCAGTCCCGGATGTTTTAGTCAGTAGGATAAATGTCGGAAAGCTGGAAACCCAAGTGTACAGGAAGCCAACAGTCACTGAACAAATCCTCAACTACAGTAGCAACAACCCAACAACGCACAAAATCAGTTGCCTACCGACTCTATTCAGAAGAGCGAGAACACACTGCACTGAAGTACAACAACTTCACGGAGAAACAAACAAAATTACTTGATGTCCACCGTTAACAAGAACGGCCACCTACGAAACTTTATCAGAACATGCCTATCCCGTACATCGTCAACTACAAAGTCATCGACACAAATCAATAAACGCATCATCCTACCATACACAAAGAATGAATACATCAGAAATACTGACAAGATTACTGAGACCACTTGGTGGAATTGATGGCTAGGTGGCTCATAAACCAATAAATTCCCTCCAAACACTATCATCCAGACCAAAGGATGCAACAACCAAAGAAGACAAACCGAATATCATTTACAAAATCAACTACAAAAATGACTGTAGTCAATAGTAGATTAAACAAAGTGGGCGTCCTCTTCTCCTTCGTCTACATGAACATCAACAATTGACTATTAAACGTTACACACAACATTTCATCACTCATTTCAATGCATGTGGATAACAACTATGTAGATGATTTCAATTTCAAGAATGTAGAAATCTCGGATGTAGAGAGGGAAAGACAAAGAATATCAGAGAATTGCTAGAAGCTTGGCATTCAGGTCAGTCAGTCAGTCAGCAATCAACAGATGTATAAACAGACAGACAGACAGACGCAATCAATCAACCGATGAGAAGAGTGATAGACGACAGAAAGGTCAGAGGTCAAGCAGAGGGACAGTCAACAGGAAAATATATACAGTCAGTCAATGACACAACAGTCAGAGGAAACAACCAGTTACAGACCAGTTCGTCAGGGCAAGTTATTAATTCACTGACGGAGAGATATTGACAGCTCACTCCAAAGTGAAGTTAGTGCTGATGATGTGGTCTAGAAAGACGATGAAAGATCCACGACTCAACAACGCAGTTCAGAGAACACAATACAACCAAGACCATCCAACTGAGCTACAAATATTCTCCACTATCTGTTAAACAGCTGTATTCACCAAAGCTGACATCATCAAAACAATGTTAGAAATTAGCGCGTTGTCAGTCGGTCGTGGTTAACTGTGAATCAATATGTCGTTACCAACCTGACCCTATTTCCATATCTGATTTGCGTCTTATAGTCATTCTAAGTTGATATTCATCACGCTCTGACTGATATCAGTTGGTGAACTATTAAAAAACTGAGAGCGCTGAAAAGTGTCTGTTTCGTCCTACTATTATTCTGCCCCTCGGGATTATATACCCATGATCTTGCCTTACCGGGAACCGAACCCAAGAACTTCAGGCTATACGGTCAAACGGTCCATATTCAGTGAGGCACCATTCCCTACTTTTATCAGTTCTCATTGCTAAAGACATGCATACTAGCAAGATGAAACAACTATTCTTCAATTTGCTTCAAGAGTTTCAATGCTTCTCCAACAGATGTCAGTCAGTCAGTGAGTGATGAATATCAACTTGGAATCAATCAGACAATCCCTACAAACCTCGAGAAACTGAATCCCTTCTTTTAAGTAATCCATTCTGTATATCTTTACAATTTGCTTATTTTCCGTCTCACCTCTGATTGGCTGAAGTGGCTTGGATATGTGTTACGAATAGTGAGTCACCGGCTACCTCCACGTACCACTATTCTACCCAGAAGAAGTTGAAAGACGCTTCATCACCGCCGCCACACCAACACATCGCACCAGTAGATCAAATCTCTAACTGTTCGTCTGTCTCACCCGTATCGGAAATTTAACACTACCTGCTTCAGGTCCTCCAAACGATAGATTGATCAATCAATCAATCAATCAATCAGTGCTTGACAACTATTGGTGACATGCCTGAAAATCCATCACGATCGCCCAGTCACCCCTATTCACCCCTTCACATCTTCTAATGTTTGGCATATTTACACTAACCTTCACATCGCTTAGTCTCTCTCACACACACACTACTCTATTCACTTTCATATCACTCTTCTCCTATCCTATCCTATCCTATCCTATCCTATCCTATCCTATCCTATCCTATCCTATCCTATCCTATCCACCTGTTCTTTGTCTACTACTGTATCTCAAGTGTCAAGTGTGGCAAATTGAGTCGATCCACCTGTGTCACAGGTTCTACCTTCATTCTCTCAGTCACATAGTCACGTCCCACAACCCATACATATCTGATGCGTTACTGAAGCTCGAGAAAACCAGTCAGTTTCCATACATCAACGAGGATGCACGCATCGTATTTTCACCCTACGACAGGTTGTAGAACACAGGCATACCTACCGGTGATCGACACTTGCCACATTTCTCCACCTGTAAGCGGCATTCGACTCTGTCGACCGTCAAGTGTTGTGGCAGTCTGAACATGCAGTGAGGGAGTATCGAGCAAGTATGTAACGCCAATAAAACAAAGATCTCTACTCGAAGTCACACAGTTGTGTAAGATCTTATGGACACTTGCCATCAGAATTGACGACAACTACTGGTGTCCGACAGCCATGCTCCCCCTATCACCCTTTCTATTTCACTTCATTATACATGTACTGATCGACATAACCTTAGTTAGGTATGTCTGACTTCACAGGGATAGATTCACCTACTACTACTACTACTCCATCGAGGCCGTCTGCTTGATTTCCAGTATGCAGACGATATTGTCTTGCTAGGTGAACACGCTGGCAAAATCCACGGTCTTC